CCATTTTGTGACATTTCGAGTACATTTTTTGCTTAAAACGACACATTCAAACACAAAAACGATCCATCAAATGTTACCACCATTGTGTATTGTCTACCAAGTATTGAGGTGTTTGCATTCACACATAAGGCTTAAAGTCTGACATGATGTATATATAAATTACTTAGATGATCTAAGTAAAGCACATACTATAAATGACTAATACAATTCAAGATAATTGTTTTAGTGAAATGTAATACAAAGGCAAAGGAAATCGGTATTAATCAACCTTTTACAAGCTGAGTTAAAATTACTTATTTTTTGTAAAGTTTACTTAATTCCACATTCCAAGTAAATTTAACTTAAAGATTTCTAATTAAAGCTACTGATGAATATGTTTAGGTTTTTACTTGGCAAATCTTTGTAAATTTACTAGCATTTTCTGAGCGAGATCGTTTTTTTCAAGTAAATCCTACTCCAAATTTTTTTACAGTGAAGAACATGTTCATGACTTGATGTGATTTTTATCTGCATGTTCTTAAAAATATATATTATTGAACTTATTTATTTGGATGTTATTGTGATTATAATAATTTTATCGTGGTTAATACTCTATTGTAATGTATGCATGTTTATATTTCAAGTGTCAGAAATACTCTTTTTACTCTTTTTTAAAAAAGAGAGTGCGTCATTTTAAGTAATAAATCATTTTTAAGAATAGTTGTTAAATGATTTTTCATTTTGTGGTACAAACTTTAGTTTGAAAAAAACGGTAAAGCTAATCACTCTAATTATATGAGAACCTTGTTAAAAAAAATACTCAAATGTATTTGAAATGCTTTCATTTTATGCTAAGTATACTATAAATACATTTACATGTTCATGTGCTTAATAAAAATACCCGGATGTTGTGTGTTTGGTGTGAGCTGGGGAAGTGTGCTGGATGGTGCAGAAGTTAAAGACACACTGAGTGTGATTTATGAAGATTGATATGACATAATCCTTATTAATAATAGGCTTAATTTTAATTAATGTGCATCGTGCAATAAAGAAGTACTCCAAATAAAGTTGAATAATAATTTTCCATCAGTGAGTCTCATTATTATTAGTTCTAGTGTCGGTAAAGCAGCCGTGTGACTGTGATGTGACTGGAAGACTGACACAGGTTTGAGTTCGCTTTAAACTCGATGCAATGCTTGTTTGTGTTTTTCCGTCAGTTCGATTGGTTAAAGACACTGAACTCGATCCTGAACACCAATCACAAACATCAGAGCACTGTCAGCATGGTGGATCACTGAAATAGTCCTTCTCGCTCACGGATCGCTCTATCAGCGCGGCTTCGGGTCTCGGGTTGTGTTTGTGTGAGACACGTTTGACCTGTAGTGTGTCACTAAAACAGGGTCATTTCGTGCGACCGCTTGACCATTATTGAATATCCTCGGTGACGACACTGGGTTCTGCGGCGTCTAGTCCACTGTCCTTAATCTGGTTACGCTCCTCCAGATCCTCCACTGTCTCCTCGCGCTGGCTAGACGTCTCATTAACATGCTAAACTCTGAGAACGAGGACCAGGCCCTCGCTCGGCCAATAGCCCACAGGAGGAATGTGTGCGCATCTCGTGATAACATCAGTCTCCGAGCAGACAGCGCCACGGGCCACGACACACACGTTTATGGACGTCTATCTGCCCCGCTGATCTGCAGCCTCTGAGACGGACGGCCTGTGCAGGAGACCGGCGTTTCAACCGGTGTAAATCAGTGTCACCTCGGGTGCTCTCAGGAGCCCTGCGATAGCCATCTCCTCCGTCTGAAAGCTGAACGCCTCATCTGTGTGCAAACACACATCACAGCCTTCACTACACTGCAGATCACCGTCACTGGAGAAACTGGATCACTAACAGTAAAAGCTAAAACTGCTCAAAATTGTTCATTCAGTTGTTGAAAAAACCTGAAGAAATTTAAAGATTTGTATTAGGTGAAAGAAACTAATTTAAGGTGGAACCATAAAACAAGTAAAACTGAAATCAAATAAACATTATGTAGAATTTCACCCTAACCCTATATATAACTAAACCACTAAACATATGAATATATATTTGTGTGCAGCAGCTCCATTATAAACACACCGAATGCAGAATCAGCGGATCAGAATGCTCGAACAAACACATGAAAGATTTGAGTGGATAGAACAGCTTACTTATAGTTGACCCTGCATGCACTTTAAAAAAGACTTATTAACCCAGAGTTTGGGTAGTTTTTGTGTAACCCGGATCCTGGGTCAGACGTAACAACCCAGTGTTTGGGTAGTTTTTGTGTAACCCGGATCCTGGGTCAGATGTAACAACCCAGAGTTTGGGTAGTTTTTGTGTAACCCGGATCCTGGGTCAGACGTAACAACCCAGTGTTTGGGTAGTTTTTGTGTAACCCAGATCCTGGGTCAGACGTAACAACCCAGTGTTTGGGTAGTTTTTGTGTAACCCAGATCCTGGGTCAGGCGTAACAACCCAGTGTTTGGGTAGTTTTTGTGTAACCCGGATCCTGGGTCAGACGTAACAACCCAGAGTTTGGGTAGTTTTTGTGTAACCCGGATCCTGGGTCAGACGTAACAACCCAGTGTTTGGGTAGTTTTTGTGTAACCCAGATCCTGGGTCAGGCGTAACAACCCAGTGTTTGGGTAGTTTTTGTGTAACCCGGATCCTGGGTCAGATGTAACAACCAGAGTTTGGGTAGTTTTTGTGTAACCCGGATCCTGGGTCAGACGTAACAACCCAGTGTTTGGGTAGTTTTTGTGTAACCCGGATCCTGGGTCAGACGTAACAACCCAGTGTTTGGATAGTTTTTGTGTTACCCAGATCCTGGGTCAGGCGTAACAACCCAGTGTTTGGGTAGTTTTTGTGTAACCCGGATCCTGGGTCAGATGTAACAACCCAGAGTTTGGGTAGTTTTTGTGTAACCCGGATCCTGGGTCAGACGTAACAACCCAGTGTTTGGGTAGTTTTTGTGTAACCCGGATCCTGGGTCAGACGTAACAACCCAGTGTTTGGATAGTTTTTGTGTAACCCGGATCCTGGGTCAGATGTAACAACCCAGAGTTTGGGTAGTTTTTGTGTAACCCGGATCCTGGGTCAGATGTAACAACCCAGAGTTTGGGTAGTTTTTGTGTAACCCGGATCCTGGGTCAGACGTAACAACCCAGTGTTTGGGTAGTTTTTGTGTAACCCGGATCCTGGGTCAGACGTAACAACCCAGAGTTTGGGTAGTTTTTGTGTAACCCGGATCCTGGGTCAGACGTAACAACCCAGAGTTTGGGTAGTTTTTGTGTAACCCGGATCCTGGGTCAGACGTAACAACCCAGAGTTTGGGTAGTTTTTGTGTAACCCGGATCCTGGGTCAGACGTAACAACCCAGTGTTTGGGTAGTTTTTGTGTTACCCAGATCCTGGGTCAGACGTAAAAACCCAGTGTTTGGGTAGTTTTTGTGTAACCCGGATCCTGGGTCAGACGTAACAACCCAGTGTTTGGGTAGTTTTTGTGTAACCCGGATCCTGGGTCAGATGTAACAACCCAGAGTTTGGGTAGTTTTTGTGTAACCCGGATCCTGGGTCAGACGTAACAACCCAGTGTTTGGGTAGTTTTTGTGTAACCCAGATCCTGGGTCAGACGTAACAACCCAGTGTTTGGGTAGTTTTTGTGTAACCCAGATCCTGGGTCAGGCGTAACAACCCAGTGTTTGGGTAGTTTTTGTGTAACCCGGATCCTGGGTCAGACGTAACAACCCAGAGTTTGGGTAGTTTTTGTGTAACCCGGATCCTGGGTCAGACGTAACAACCCAGTGTTTGGGTAGTTTTTGTGTAACCCAGATCCTGGGTCAGGCGTAACAACCCAGTGTTTGGGTAGTTTTTGTGTAACCCGGATCCTGGGTCAGATGTAACAACCCAGAGTTTGGGTAGTTTTTGTGTAACCCGGATCCTGGGTCAGACGTAACAACCCAGTGTTTGGGTAGTTTTTGTGTAACCCGGATCCTGGGTCAGACGTAACAACCCAGTGTTTGGATAGTTTTTGTGTTACCCAGATCCTGGGTCAGGCGTAACAACCAGTGTTTGGGTAGTTTTTGTGTAACCCGGATCCTGGGTCAGATGTAACAACCCAGAGTTTGGGTAGTTTTTGTGTAACCCGGATCCTGGGTCAGACGTAACAACCCAGTGTTTGGGTAGTTTTTGTGTAACCCGGATCCTGGGTCAGACGTAACAACCCAGTGTTTGGATAGTTTTTGTGTAACCCGGATCCTGGGTCAGATGTAACAACCCAGAGTTTGGGTAGTTTTTGTGTAACCCAGATCCTGGGTCAGACGTAACAACCCAGTGTTTGGGTAGTTTTTGTGTAACCCGGATCCTGGGTCAGACGTAACAACCCAGTGTTTGGGTAGTTTTTGTGTAACCCGGATCCTGGGTCAGACGTAACAACCCAGAGTTTGGGTAGTTTTTGTGTAACCCGGATCCTGGGTCAGACGTAACAACCCAGAGTTTGGGTAGTTTTTGTGTAACCCGGATCCTGGGTCAGACGTAACAACCCAGAGTTTGGGTAGTTTTTGTGTAACCCGGATCCTGGGTCAGACGTAACAACCCAGTGTTTGGGTAGTTTTTGTGTTACCCAGATCCTGGGTCAGACGTAACAACCCAGTGTTTGGGTAGTTTTTGTGTAACCCGGATCCTGGGTCAGACGTAACAACCCAGTGTTTGGGTAGTTTTTGTGTAACCCATGTAGCCCAGATAGGATTTTATATGCATTTATATGCATTTAGAAATACAGACCACAAAGGGTTAATACGTTTGGTTTTAAATGACTAATATTAACATGCTTTTTGGCACCATAACTTGCTTGCACTGAAATATCTGCATCTTTATTTTATCGTTTTCTGATTGGGTAAATTCCGACGGTGATTATTCATGAGGGGCGGGGTTTTGGAGATGTGCGTTGTATTTGCAGAAGTGCATGGTGAAAGTGAAAGGAACTAGTTCTTGTAAGAATATGAGAAAGTACACCCAGTTATAATGGATGACCAATCGTTGTGCTGTTCTGGGATGCTTCTCTAATTGTTTGAAGGTAAATTTTCATTTTTGTGTTTAATACTGTCTGTATTCAATATGGTTAAGTACTGAGGGAAATGCTAATCGCGAGTAGCATGTTAGCATACATTTTGTGACTGTTTGTGCACATTATATTCACCCGTTATGTTTGTGATTTATTTGCTAAGTTATATGGACTGATTATAACATATTTTGCACAGGAAACGGACAGTTGTTTTTGTGGTTGTGTTATGTATGGGGATCATCTCCTCGTCAGTGTGGAAAGATATTCTACAGTTTCTCTGATGCGTGGCGTCGAGGATTCTTCACTGGACTCTGGATCGGCTCACTGATTGAACTTGCAGCCTAGTACAATTGCGCTTGATGTTCGTTTGCAACTGGACATCCTCTGAGGTCGTGAGTACTACAAAGCCCGTGCAGTAACGTTAACCATTTTGTTCGCTTTGAAAGCGAAGCGGCCTTTGTGTTTTTGGCCACCACGCTCTCAAGCTACGTCACAGGCCTGCAACGATTTATTTTTGTTTGAGACTGTGTGAATGAATGTGTGGGCCTACTTGATTTTTTGTCATTAAGGTTCAACTAAGTTGAAAGGTTATTAATCTGATTTGGGTGTAAATTGAATTGAGGATTCATATTGGAATTGTTTCAATTATATTCTGCTTATTATTTACCTGTTTCCTCCTAAATGCAACATATTTAATCACAATAATTGAACGTTTTATTTTCATATTCTTTTATTTTTCACAGTAAATTGTATATAAGTACTCCATTCACATTTCTGTGTGGTTTTTCACCTGCAGTTTACACCATTCTTTGTGGGTTTAATCTGTGAATTAAAAAGCATCTTAGTAGGATAATTTGAAGCAAAGTAATAATTTACTACTAAGTGGAGGCACTGCCAAAGTAAGCTGTTGCAAAGTTTATTTAATTAAGTTATCATAAAATAAATCAACACCTGCGTTATTTATTTTATTATTATTCAGGACAGACCCAGGGCCCCATCTCGTGTTATATTTACGAAATTGGGTTAGCTACATTCAGTATCATAATTAGCACTGGGAAAGGGGTTACACCCAGATCCTGGGTCAGATGCAACAACCCAGTGTTTGGGTAGTTTTTGTGTAACTCAGATCCTGGGTCAGACGTAACAACCTAGTGTTTGGGTAGTTTTTGTGTTACCCAGATCCTGGGTCAGGCGTAACATCCCAGTGTTTGGGTAGTTTTTGTGTTGCCCAGATCCTGGGTCAGACGTAACAACCCAGTGTTTGGGTAGTTTTTGTGTTGCCCAGATCCTGGGTCAGGCGTAACAACCCAGTGTTTGGGTAGTTTTGTTTTACCCAGATCCTGGGTCAGGCGTAACAACCCAGTGTTTGGGTAGTTTTTGTGTAACCCAGATCCTGGGTCAGACGTAACAACCCAGTGTTTTGGTAGTTTTTGTGTTACCCAGATCCTGGGTCAGACGTAACAACCCAGTGTTTGGGTAGTTTTTGTGTTACCCAGATCCTGGGTCAGGCGTAACAACCCAGTGTTTGGGTAGTTTTTGTGTAACCCAGATCCTGGGTCAGATGTAACGACCCAGTGTTTGGGTAGTTTTTATGTAACCCAGATCCTGGATCAGACATAACAACCCAGTGTTTGGGTAGTTTTTGTGTAACCCAGATCCTGGGTCAGATGTAACGACCCAGTGTTTGGGTAGTTTTTATGTAACCCAGATCCTGGATCAGACATAACAACCCAGTGTTTGGGTAGTTTTTATGTAACCCAGATCCTGGATCAGACATAACAACCCAGTGTTTGGGTAGTTTTTGTGTAACTCAGATCCTGGGTCAGACGTAACAACCCAGTGTTTGGGTAGTTTCAGGGCCTCTAAAGTTAAAAGTTCCTTGGGTGAACACAACACAAGATCAGGAGATCCAGTGCGTTACAGTCGAGACGGCACAACAGAGACTGGGCCATTACACTTAAATAAAACTTACTTATAAATGTTTAATTTTTATTGTGAACATTTGTTAAAGGAGCTTAAATGTAGTCAATATGTATGCAAAAACTATATGAAATATGCTATACTTTAAAATATGGTAAAAATAAAGGAATTATCATTCAAACCAGTGGTTGTGTGGAGTTTTTTCATGTTTGGAAGATTTCAGTTAATCTGTAAAAATAGTTAATGTACGAAGTAAAAAACAAATAGCTAGTTCTACAGTAAAAATAAATCAAGCCAGTGTAATGGGTTAAAACAACAATCGAATTTGCTGGGTAAAATGAACATGTGTTCTGTCTTATATTTACCCAGACCTTGGGTAAATCGGGTTGTTTTACCGAGTGTCTCATGGACTGACCAACACAACTGACAGAAACACACACACACACACACACACACGGCCACAGAGAGTTTGTAAGGGCCACTTCAATTTGTCAGATCCGTCATCTCTCACACGTGCACTCTCTCTCCTGTGATGGAGTTCATTGTGAGGATGGTCCACTCTCACAAAACATGAGATGTGTTCTCCCGGGAGTGAGGCTAATGAAATCAGGCCGGCCGGCCGAACGAACGAAGGGAGGGAGGAACGAATGAACGAACGAACGAATGAAGCAACGCTCTCAGGGAATGAGCCGCGCTTTTAGCCTGGGCAGCAGATTTCTTTGAGCACCTTCACAGGAGTCGTGCATTAACAATACTGTTCCTCCTGCTGTCCACCACCACGATTGTTCTCCTTGTTAATATTTTGCCCTAACAGTGCTTTTGATTTTATTCTGGTTTTTCTGCTCCTCGTCCTGAATCAGATTAGGATCGATCGCCGCACGAGAGCATACGCGGAGAGCCCGACAGAACCGCGCATTGAGAGTATTCAGGCGACTAAATAGAATTGTTTGCCCTTAGATGTCAAATTTCCTCCGAGACGAGAATGTCAATAGCAATTAGATTGTGTGCATGCGCCTCACGAGAGCGGTGGCCATCTTGGTCCCAATTCAGTTTCACTGCTGCATTACAGTAACTCCATTAGCCGCCGCGGGAGCGTGTTCGTTTACTCAGCGGCTTGGCATCCGTTGAAAGGTCAGAGCCTGCTGAAGTGGGCAGAAAGTGAATTAATGAACAGATGTCTTTAGGAAGTGAACGGTCCGAGTGTGTGTCCGTGTCCCGTCGCTTCCACAGGCTAACGTGATAACATGACAAACACGGTTAGCGGCCGCGGGACGGGCGTCGCGACACACGACACTCACTGCAAATCACACGCAGTCAAAATGCTTTTAATCGCAGGCCAATCTTTTGAATGAGAATAAAGCCACTCATTTTGTTCAGTTGTTGCTTGTTTTGGCTGAGCACAGCAGGGTTATTCTAGATAACCAAAACCCAACATTCTTGAAATGCAATAACCATTAAATCAAGTCACCTGAGCATTATATCATATGGATTGATTCAAACACAGGTTAAAATAACATATATATCACCATACGTCAACATCCGCCTTTTTAGGGTACCCTTAAACGTCGGTTTTATGACGATCCCGGGCCGTCATACGACTGACGCTTTACCTTTAACGTCGGTTAGGTGACGGGTTAGGTTTAGGTCTGGGGTAGGGTTAGGATCCGATAACGTCATGTATCCGACGTTTAAGGGGGCCCTAAAAAGGCGGATGTTGACGTATGGTCAAAAGACGTCCCAAGACGTCAGTTATATGACGTCTTGGGATAAAATGCATTGCAATATGTGCATATTCCTTGTTTTAAAGCATTATACTTTCAAAAGGTGCAGCAATGAATTGATAAGTAATGTATTATAACTGTGTTATGCACAGATGTATTATAAGGTGCATAATTGTGCATTGTACGGTAAAGACTTAAAGTAAAGTGTAAACTTATTTGAGTAAAGCAACTCATTTTCATTAAATTGATGTGCTAAAATAACTAATACTGAATCTGAAATAAACAAGAATAAAGACTATTGAACCATAATATTATAAAAAAAGACTCTTATTTTACAGAGTCCACATATAGTATAGTTTCTATCATAACTGTAAATTATGCAAAATTACATGCAACCAACCCTAAACCCAACTTTAATCTTAATCCTAAGCATTTAGTAAGTACAAGTAGTGGATTATTATTAATTAAGTGTAACAGAACAAACAATGACACCAAAATCCTTTATACATTGGAAATCCCAGAAATCTTTTGATTGCTTAGGTGCTCCTCTTCCTGACTCGCATCTGATGAGCTGGTGATCCGCCAAGAACAGCGGCTTTCAGAGATTCGTCTTATAACATCCAGCTATTAAAAGCATGTCAACTGTGAATATTTAAAGTGGTTTATTCACCGTGGAGGAACGCGCACACACACACACACACACACACACACACACTCGCTCTGATCATTTAAGAGCTCCAATCACAACAAATCCAATCATTATAAAGAGCCTCGGCTGCACGGCTCTTTGCTTAAGACTTGACAAATTGATCATTTGCTCAATAACCCTTACAGTCAGAGGATCCGGACGAGCTGGTCACGCAGCGCACACCGCTTCCACTGGCCTTTAGTGTATTGTCAAGATGCCGATCCGCTGATTTACTGAAGACAGGCACATTTCTTCTGTGTTGTTGACACATTTATCTGGTTAGTCCTCCGTCTGCTGAATCAGGACATCACGGGACTCTTAGAGCTATTGCTTTCGGCCGCCAAACAAACCTTTTTAAATAAACAGAATGAAAAGTAAAAAATCGCATTGCTGCTCATATCTGGAATGTGTGGTTTAATGTTAAATATATGTATTTCAAGCATTTAGCAAGCAATTAAAATTAAATTATTGTGGATCAGTATAGCTTGTGAATGTCTCTGAGAGAGACTCTTCTGCTCACCAAGGCTGAATTTATTTGTTTACAAATTCAATAAAAATTGTGAAATATTTTTACTATTTGAAATAAGGGTTTTTACAAGTGTATTTTATTCCTGAATTTTCAGCATCATTACTCCAGTCTTCAGTGTCACATGATCCTTAGGGTGATCTCAAGAAACATTTATGATTATTATCAGTGTTGAGAACAGTTTATATTTTTGTGGAAACTGATGCATTTTATTTTAAATGAACAGTTAACATTTTCTTGATGGGAAAGTCTAAAAGCACCGGCCACATCACACATTTATTTTTCTTTTATTTGTATAAGGGCTGCACATGGTTTCCAATCGGTTGCTTTAAAAGCATCAGGCCTTCAAATGACCCCGTGGCCTTGGTTTACAGGTGAACTTTGTGATAAAGGGAATCTTTCCTGAATTATTTTAAGCTAAATAAACCATTTCTTTGAAGGCATTTGGCTTGTCCGTCTACAACACGGAACATCAGCTCTGGAGAACCCGAACGCCAGATGTCTGCTTCTGTCCAGAGACGGCCCGTCTGTGTCTGTGCATTAATGAAGCTGGACATTCATATTTGAATCTGATGGAGACCATATGCTGCCCGATAATATACGACATATAACATTGACTGAGTCACATCTGGACGTGATATCATGACGCGGTCGCCACCTCCAACAGTGGAGCGATTCAAGAGCAGTCTCTACTTTACTTTACTTTACTTTACTTTACTTTACTTTACTTTACTTTACTTTACTTTACTTTCTGACGGAGATAAAATGCTGAAGGGAACGAGTGATCAGGAAGTTCAAGGTTCGCCAAAAGACCTCTATTGAAACTGTGTCAAAAACACAGGATTATAGGCAAATTATCCCAGATGCAAGGCAAGTGTTTGTGACTGATTCTTTCGTTGCACATTAATAC